TCCTCCTCCCCCGCCTGGGCCCGGTGTCAAGACCAAGTCAAGAAGACCGGAGACGGGGGAGGCCGCAGGTGGATGGCTCGGACGGGTCTTCGCCTTGGCGCTCCACTCCGCACCCCTGGTCCACACACCAAGACCAGGATTTTGACCACAAAACAACGGGGTGGTGACAGTGGTCCGGTTGTGCGACGAATGCCGACAACAGGGTCCGCCAGCGCACCCCGGAAATGTTGGCATTTGTTATTACGCAAAGATAACGCCTGCCAGAGTCCGATTTGGCCCCCGTGTTGGTCCAGCGCATCTAACACGTGGCCCGTTTGGAGGGCACTCCCGAAAGCCTCAAGTAGATACACGCACATATACAGGATGCTTGATGACACGAACTGTAACTAAAAACGAAATCTTTTGTTAGGCGCGGTTAAACGCTAACTGCCATTGCCATTACCTATACCTCTGAGAGTGAGATGGGGACACAGCATCGAAAGCTCATATAATAACGCTTGTTTTAAGCTCAAGGATCTCGGTTCATTCCTAGTTAAATCTCACAGGATCCCGTTTTAACGTAAGCATAAGTGTATGTTTATTGTTGTACAGAAGGAGATGGCAAATAAATCTCTGGAAGAGTGGATTAATCACCTGATATTTCGTACTCATAATTGAGTACATCAACGTACGTAGACAAAAGCAGAAAATACGTGTTCTGTGTTGGCAGGCACATAATGGTCTCCTCTCATTTGAGCATATTTTTACCCAATTGGTGTCTGGCGGCCTCATATGGCGCTTGTAGGCTGATCATACGGTTGATCGAGTTGGCGCCGGATTGTTCACCTGTCGACCATGCCGGAGTATTTGGCTGGACAGTCTAAATAACTAACGCGGTGAACAACTTGGGCTGCGTGAGCGAACGGGGGATAGTGACCTCCGGTCGGCGTCCGAAACTCATGCTGAGTGGTCTGAGCATGTGTTGAGTGGCTTCGGTCGATGCTTTTGTTCACCGTCGTTGTTCGCATGCCTTTGATACAATCGTTTGCTTATGAAGTTGGGCGTGCATCCATTGGAGGGGAAGAGATGCCATACTGAATTACGCTCTTGCAGCCTCACGGTCTCTGTGGAGAAAGAGTGTTCGGAGGTACCTGCGTTTATGCGACCGGGAGTGGTTGTTGTTGTACAGGCGGATTCTTGTCGTGTTTGTAGCTTTTCGAAAGACACCAGTCTGGAGAACTCCGTTCGCCTGTCTAGATACCTAGACATCAGGGAAGAAGACTTCGCTGTCCTTTTCTTTCCGCATTGTGAATTGACTATGGGGGAAGATGGAGTTCTGTTTCCTTTTGTGAAGGTTCACAAACTAAACTTACGTTCAAAAGTAGTTTATAAGACTGATGGGATGTTGCTCACATTCGTTTACCACAAGAAAACATACGAAAGTCACTCCATACTCTGAGAGAAACCGAAAGCTCGATTCTTGTGGCGGATGATGTCCAGTGTATGGTCCGCAGCATGGTGGGTGCAGGGGCGGTGTCTTGCACAGTATATCTCGCACTCCCTCCTTCCTCACTCACCCGAGCCCGAGGGTCAAAAACGCCGCAATCCTGGTCGGGCACAGAAAGCTGGCACGACGTGAACCTGCACCTAGGCGTGTCACGACAAATTTTTAGGAGTGCGTAGCCTGAATGACTTGTTCCAGACCTTGATCTGGCCCATGTGTTAGCTCAGAGCGATTCCCGCGTGAGCCGTTGTAGTGACCAAATGAGAGTAACCACCCTACCTCTTGCAAACAGAGTGTTGTAAACGGCCTGCCTAATCGTGCATAAACGCACTGTTCTGACGAAGAAGGCTACCGAGTCGGCCTAGATTACTTGTTTGACTTATTTTTTAAACCGGTCCCCAAAATATTTTGCTCCCGAGACAGCAAGGATCGAAAAAAGACAGGCTGGATAGTTCCGACCTGACACACAAACAAAATGCCTTCTAAATCATGGAGGGCTTCGATGGGGTCAACATGATGCCCAAAATCAACAGCGTGTTCGTGAATGGCTTAGCTCATGATTATAAAGTTGCCGGTAGGTAATCGCGTATTCCTATGGATACACGCCGACTCGTGCGGTCAGTATAAACTGTTCCAGGGGTACACGCGCGTAAGGCGACCTGAGCTGACAACCCATCCTCACCTTTTCCGTGCAAAATCTGCTTTGTCGAGATTTATACTCGAACACTTGTTACTGGGAAAGTTCCTGAAACAGCTTGGTTAAAGCCTCTTTCCTGAACTTCAGTTGTTGCCATCAGTACGGCAAGTGTTGCTGGTCTTGCGATAATATTCTTTTAAATAAATCAGTCAGAATACCCCCATAAAGAAGCAGGTCCTACGTCTTCCCACTCTACTTGCTGATGCTATCTGTCGAACAAATTTTATTAGCCCTTTGCGCTAAACAGCGAAGAAAATCGCCTTTTTGTTGCTGGGGTACGAAACGCATTTGTAAATCTACCATGAAATCTTTTGCGTAAGAGGACATCCAAGAAAACGAGTAGACTCTTCGTTTCCACCTCTTTCGTGAGCTTACTTAATGGGTGCTCCGGATTTACAATTTCTAAGACGACAGATACGTTGGTTTGTGTAATGGCAGCCACGTGACGGCCGTACTACCTAAGTCCATTGAGCAGGTTGCTCAGATAAAATTTATCCAGCCTGTCAATGAATACATCGGCTAAAATGGACTGAGATGTGGGCCCGTAGCGTCGCCGTCTAAATGTCTCCGTAGTCAGTCGTTAAAAAGGAACTGTACGTTCAATGTGCCCCTTAGTAATAATTCTTCAAGTCTGTTCGTCGGTATTCCTATTTATCGCCGATTTGCGGATATGAATTCACCAACGTAGTCCACTGTTCTACTTTCACTTGTGTTTGGGGGACCAGGTCGTGCAGGTGGCGCGCGCAGACAAGGTCACTAGACTATATCAGCCGCCGCGTCCAGTCATCTGACCAGCTCAGATAGTGGCTGGGGTGTGGGGATGGGAAGGGAGAGTAAGGTCGACGACTCAGCGCATTTTTCTCACTATAAACAATCTGGCACGCTTGAAGCTATCACGGTGCGCCAAAAGCCGTGGCTTGGAAGGTTGCCAACTGTCGGGAAAACTTGAACCTCGCAGTCGGCCCAGTGTTGTTTGTGCTGCAGTTGTGGAGTGGCCAGCTGACGGTCTGAGAGTCGGGATGCAACAGCTCCTTATTAATGTGGCCTTTATGGCATTCCCACTACATGGGATCCGAGCCGGATGTCGGCGGCACGCCTAGGTGCGGCTTCAGCCGTGCCAACCTCAGCTCTCTTTGTTGTTGGTCAAAATCTGGTTATTTGTTGTGTGGACCAAAGGGTATGGAGTGGAACGCCAATGTGCGAGCTCGACCGTGCCATTCACCTGCGCCCTCCTCCGTCTCTGGTCTTCTTGACTCTGTCTTGACACCGGGTCCAGGTTGAGAAGGAGAAGAGAGTGAGGCAGATGCAGCGCAAGTCTGCTCTCCATATAAACTAAACTTCTGCACAAGTCAGCGTTCTTGCTCCCATCCTGCTGTGAAGCATACGGTGGACATCGTCGAAATCGACGGTTAAATTATCATATAGCTTCCCCATAGACAAACTAGTAAACATTTTAATTTGATCTAACTTTTTATGTCCCTGTTTGTACACCCCCTGGGACGGTAGGATGGATAAGCTCCTCAGGATTTGTCCGAAGGATGGATCTACGTGCGTATCTCGAAGTTATCCTTCACTGAAGTCTGTTACACTGCCAGCCACCGATAGGTACTTCGGGAGGACAGTCATTGGGCGAACCGACGTATACATCCGAAACGTGGATGTCCACTGCCTGCTTTAAGTCCAAATCCCATATTCGGACTACTGATGATCAAGATTCCGGGGCTGCATTTCGCTCTTGCCCTCTCCAACGGACACCCACGAGACTCATCTAATAGACACGATTTGCTGACCATACTTTCAGAAAAGGAGGATCGTACAGTGCTTGCGTGGGAAACACTTACTGATCGGTCAGTTTACATACAAGTGAGAGGACACTATACTAACATCTCAACCGTTTCTCTCTGTGCATCAATATCAGTCGCGCTTAGTGTGACAAATAAACTTATACCCTCACCTATAAGAAGAAATTATAAACAACCTCGGCGTATTTGGGTAATTTATGGTAGGACATAGTCAAACAGCCGCTTTATTAAATGAAGATGAAGAGGTTTCGAGCACCGGAACATTTTGTTTATTGTCCTGAGCTTTCGGACTCGTGCAGAAGTCCGTCGTCAGAGGCCTGTTTGGTGTAGTTAAGAGGTGATTTTCCAGACGTGTTCGGACTCACGAATGACCTGACTCCGTAGGCTTTATCAATTTCAGCGGTCATGCATCAATCTGCCGTTATGACCCCGGCTACGAAAACACAAACCGACGCTGGCCACACGACCACCATCGGACAGCAGACGTTTTCGGTAGTACTGGAAGCACACACTGACGGCAAACAATCAATTGCGCTCGCCAGCCTTCCATCACCGTCAAGGCTCGAAGAAGCCACTTTATTGCTTCCAGTACTACCGAAAACGTCTGCCGTCCGACGGTGGTCGTGTGGTCAGCGTCGGTTTGTGTTTTCGTAGCCGGGGTCACGACGGCAGATCGATGCATGACTGCCGAAAGTGTTAAGCCTACGAGGTCAGGTCCTTCGTGAGTCCGAACACCTCTTAACTACACCGGACAGGCCTTATTTCGAAAATTCAAGAATACCATGATTCGGTATCGTTCTACAGTCAGAATAGAAGTAAATGAAGCTACATTGTTGAAGAACAAGACACGATCGCCGGGACAAAAGCTTTATTAGCCTGACGTTTCGGATTCCTGCTCGAATCCATCATCAGAGACAAAGGCAGATAAGGGTGGTTCATGCATAAGGGGCTGCAGTATTTATAGGGTGCTTTAGCCAGGCTACCGCATACCTATGAATATTCAAGGCTCCCTCCTTCATCAGGAATCGGTGCACGTGGCGTGATGGTCGACATTTGCGTCGTTAATTGCTGCAATTTCATCACGTGCGTTGGATGCTGGTGTGATGATTGCTCGACCATCTGACGCGCTGACCTTGGTGTTGGGAAAGGTGTTCACCTGTGCGCTCCCCGCGTGGCCAATTACTCCGCCTAGGCGAGGTCTCAGCACGGAGTATTGAATGGGAAGATCATTGCACTTATTAATAGACTGGGGGCCAGCAAACCATGACTCAAGCAGCTCCCGGCTCACGCGGTTGTCACCTCTTGCGAGAATTTCGGCCTCGTCGAATTTGAATGTGTGGCCGGATCTCGTCGAATGAGCCACAACTTGGGAGCTGGCGTCATTTCTTCGTACCGCTGCAGCGTGTACAGCCATTCGCGTTTGGAGCTGTCTTCCGGTTTCTCCGACGTAGTTGCTTTGTTCGCAACTGCACCAGATCCGATAAACGACTCCAGACGTTTCTTGCCGTGGCAGTGGGTCTTTCGGTCTCATTAACTGACGCCTGATGGTTGCCTCCGGTCTGTGTGCAACTCCAAACCCAAATGGTGCGAGAAGGCAGCCAACAGCTTCCGAAACGTTCTTGACATATGGAAGCGCTCGCCAAACTTTGGTGTCCGTGAGGTTTGTACTTTCGTCCCTTTTGCGTATGCACCGTTTGACGAAGTTGCGCGGGTAGCCATTGACTTTGAAGACCCGTCGAAGGTATCTTTGTTCGGAAATCTTGTCTTCCGGCTCACTGCAGTGCGTTTCGACACGCCGATAGAGCGTCCTTACACAACTGCGTTTGTGATTGATTGGGTGGTTGCTGTTGGAGTTCAGTACTTGCATAGTATTTTTCGCTTTCCTAAACACTTTGGTCTTTAATTCACCACAATCCTTGCGGCATACGAGGACATCCAGGAAGGCCGGCTGCTTGTTCTCTTCCTCCTCCATCGTAAACTGTAGGTCCGGGAAGACTGCATTCAGACGTTCCTTGAATGTCAGCAGTTGATCCCGGTCGATAACGACGAAGGGGTCATCCACATACCGTGCCCGGGTCTCTGATGATGGATTCGAGCAGGAATCCGAAACGTCAGGCTAATAAAGCTCTTGTCCCGGCGATCGTGTCTTCTTCTTCAAGACTGCTTCCTGGGACTCATCTCTTCGCTTCGAATGGGCAGCGCTCGTTGGCTACGACAGAGGCGGCTGCAAATCGGGCTACGCGGACCGGTCCTATGTGCGCAAAAAAGCTTCATACAGGTCCTACAGTTGCCTTGGCTCAAAGCCACCAAGCCAGCCACCCGCGTGTAATTATCTTCGCCGCGACCCACCTTCTCCCTGGCGTTGACTGTAATTGTGGTGTTTCACTCTCCCCCTCCCTCCCCAAATCCGAGCTACAGCTTAATTATCTACTTGCCCATATCCTTTAATTCATTACTTCAATAGCCATATAAATATACAGGCCTGGAGAGAATTTATCAAAAGCAAACGTATGCTCGCCAAATTGCCTTTTGAATATTAATTATCGCGCAGCCCAACTCCGAGACAATTCAGTCACGCCACGATACCGTTTTAATTTGCGCGTCTTTCCGGCTGCCCGACAACCTACTCTCGCCAAGAAGCGAGCACCTAAGTGGTGTGATTTTTTATCATTGATTTTCGGTGTTTTATAGATGACGCACAGATAGAGATCGTTCTTTGCATTAACTTTGTAGTAAATTGATCCTTTTCCAATTTTATTATTCGAGGAAAGTGCAACTTTTGGTTCAAAAGTTTATAATTTTGAGATTTGTCAAAGCCACGAAATGTTAGTTCAAGTGTCATAACAAATTTGTGTTTACTAAAGCTCCTTATAAAGTGTGCAAAACGGTCCATATCGATGATGAAATGTTAGCAATCTTATATGGTATATTGCTAATGTCTAGGGGAATGTATGATTTTTCTTGAATTGCAAGTTTGCGGCTTCTAGATTTGGAACCACAAATGGAAGTGCAACCGAAGATTGGACTGAAGACGATTCGTAAATCAAAAATTTGATCCCAAAAGTTAACTTGGTAGGGCACTGGAACATGGACTCCGCATATCACAGATGACTTTGCGCTAAATTTCAGAAGGTTAAGTTTATGGTTAGTGTTAGGGAAGAAGTTAGGACCTGGGAATAGCTATCCATCCTGGAATTTAGCGCGAGGCCACCTGTAATATGGGAGAGCCTTATTATCGTGTCCACCCGCTAACTTGAACGAATTCCCCTTACTGAAATCCTGCTTTAGAATTTCAGTTAAAATATTACGTGCTATGCCACCCACCGTATATTTTTATCACCACATGAGGCGGTACTATAATTTGGGCGAACTGTCATCTCCGGATTGAGTTAGTCCTGGCCATTAATAAGTCCTCTCAGTGTGGCGTTTGAAAAGGCGATCTCCTGTCGTTCAGCCTGCTTTTATTGACTGGATTTACGAAGGGGATTGCTGGAGTTTTCACGGTTTCCAATTCGCACCAGAACGCCGATTGACTAATCCCGACTGCACAGAGGACAGCACTATACTAAATGATCCGGATGTATTTTTCTGCTACCAGTGACATTCAATAGCGCTTCTTTTAAATTCGATCCTCAAAGCAAGGAAGCGGCAAGGACAGAAAGGTCCGTTAGAATCACCTTGCAGTCTCTCACGAAAGTGTACAAATCTCAAAAGAGAAATCTAAACATTCATCTCAAGTTAATGTCCCACTTCCAATATTCATTAATCCTTTTAGCAAGCACCTAACACCAATTTTAATCTTAAAAATATCGCGTAAACTCCTCCAGAAGATTATTTCACCAGGGGTTGAAAGGTCAGGTGAAGTGTCGTACTTTGCTTTAATCAGACCAGGACGTGACCCTCGAACTCGATAATGGCAAGGCACAAAACGCTGGTCTGGAGACAGAGCGAAGAAAAAGTGCAAATCACACCTTAGGCGGTTGCAAAAGGTGGCTCCTCTTCCACGTGGCTAACCACGTGTAGTCAGATAGTCATTTTGACATTAGCATTTAAGCGTGACAGAAGCCAGACGTCGGTTTACCGGTTTAAATTAATTCCGCGGTTATTTGTCACTTTATTATTGGGTGTATAATACAAATTCCTATCGTCTTCGTTAGTCTTGATAAGAGAAACAAAAACAGCACGTTACATTGCATTTCGACGACTACTAGTTATCAGTTTGTTGTCTTAAAAGGCAAATGCTTCTTATCTCCCCTTCGATCTTGTTCGAGCTGTTGAAACGGTTAAGTTCTCTTATCCGGTAGAGCAGAGCAGACAGTAAAGATTGTCTTTAGACCATAAAACCGAAACATTTGAAGTCTATGGACTAAATTATGTTCATTAGAATTTTGTATGTGAGTGGACTTCGAGAAGGAAGTTCGTTTGTTGAATTTATGCTCATCGTAATTATCATCATGACGGAGGCTCAATGTAAGCAGCGATCAATTCTTATATAAACACCTTCGTTTCCCTGTGATGTATTCGAAATCTGGGCTAGCAGCAACGGAAATGTAAAACATTTCTGTATTTAGAGCATGACTTGGAAGTGCTCATTCGAAACCCATGGCGTTCAATCTCACTTTGTAATTTCGGTTTAGTCATCTCGATGGGACTCGAAGTAAGTTGAGACATTAAAGACTAAAATGACTAACCTTCCTCATTTTTCTTCTTGTTCTTTTCCCTCTTCTTTTCCTTCTTTCTCTTCCCTCAGCCCTGTGCAGGGAATAGGCCGGTTTTTGAGGGACCGCATTTCACACATGTAAGTGGAAGTGGACGCATTGGTTACGCTCTCTGTACAGTAACCCTCATGCCCCATAATTGGAACTAACCACTGTTAATAAATGAACTGTGGTTTACAGACGACCTCTGTCGCCATCAAGTGCACGGAGTGGAACCGACAAGTTATTGCTCTCCTGGCCACCCAACTTGTGATTTTTATACTTTTCTGGATAAAAGAAAATACGGTTAGGCGAAACCTCATTGCATTTTTCTCAGAAAGTAGGTTAAGGTTTGGTGAAACGTCTGACAGGCACAACAATCTTGCGTAAACCTCTAAATCCCCGTTAATCGGCATGCTCTATGGAGGATCAGGATACCCACCCGTGAGACCGACATCAAAGGCACCTTGGAGGTGTCAAGAAGACAATTAGTTGGCACTGGTTTTTTGGCACAGACATAAGCGAGACCCTACTACGGTATAAGGGGTGTGATGATCGATGCAATCAGAACCAATGAAACAACAGAACAAGAAGGCCCTTTTGTTTCTGTGTATACTCAAGGGTGCTCTGTGGGTGTTGTTGTTGCGGCGATTGTTTCCTTTCATCATTGTTAGCTTGGGCCTGCAGGCTGATTTTTTTTGAAGATGTGCAGAACCAAAGAAACAGTGCAAAACAACACGTTCACTAGAACGATTTGGGAACTTGACTTCTTGAGATAATAGATCAAAACAGTTGCGTTTCGGGGGACTAATGTTTTCGATGGTGTCAGTGATTGCCAAAAATTTATTAACAGAAACGACTGCAATGGTTCCACCAGCAAGATCCGGGATATTAGGCCATTTACGGATAAACGCGTAACCGCTTCTGTGGCACTTTCTTCAACGGGTTTCTTTTATACGTTTGAGGTGGCAAGACTGGATATGTGATGGTGGCACGCTGTAATTTTTCCGATAATAGATTGTAGCCAACATTTTCCCTTAATATCTGAAAAGTAGACTGTAACCTTCTGTTGAAGGAAATGCAACTGTTCCTCCGATGAGTGGAGGTAGAAGTAGAAGCCACTTGTGACGGTAGCTTCGTTTTACCTCCATTTTACCAGACAACGACTGGAAAAGTTTAAACCATCGCTTTTGACTAGGAAAAACACAGGAATTTTCCCCTATTATAAGCTATTTAAGTATACGCCATAACAATTTCGAAGTAGTAGACAGCCGATCGTGGAATACTTTTTGTCCTGTACTTCAAGGCGAACAACTTTGGTTTGCCCATCAGAGGCTTCACTCTGTGCCGTATGCGACGCTTAATTTGTTGATAGTGAGGGACCAAATTATGCTGGATCTGATTGCTGTAAAAAACCTGATTCCTGCTCACACTGGACGTATAACAGAGTCAACAGCTCAGAAGACGAAGATGCGAACACTGGAAAAAGACATTTACGGACCTGACGTTCGGACTCTCACTCGAACCCATCATCAAAGACATATGGTCTCACGGCAGCCACGTGCTATAAATACTGCACTCCCTGTGCAACCATCACCTTTACCTGCGACTGTCTCTGATGATGGGTTCGAAGGAGAATTCAAAACGGCAGACCAATAAATGTCTTGTTCCAGTGATCGCATCTTCGTCTTCTGAACTGTTTCCGGTAACTCGTCTGTTTGCTTCTATCAGAGTCAGCGGTATTGAGCGAAAGAAGTAATTGCTCGGTTAGTAGGTTATCTTATCAGATTAAATGACCGATTGTGATTATGTCTTCTGTGAACTACCTTGCTCGTTATGCGCGGGCATACTGCGATTTCGGAGATACTGATTGCTTTGTTCAGAACAACCGTGATGGTTATGCCAAATGTGCATGTCTAACGGCGGCCAGAACATGCATATATTTGACAAATGATTTGGTCTGTTGTTGCATCTAGTGGAGGCTAGGATTTTTTAAAATGTGATCCCAATTTTCAAATAGAAATGTCACAGTATGCTCGTCTGACTGCATGGGGATTAACAAGGAATTTCCTGAAAAAATGTGCAGCATTCTTTGGTATGAATGATCAAAAAACTGTTGTGATTAAAGAGGACGATCAACAGACATTAATTAATGAGAGAATTGGTGCGGCATTCAAGTTGATTGTTCACAGGCGATAAAACTGTGACCTTTAATGGGGAACTGAGAATTTATATGGGTAGAGTGATGCAGCTTAGAGTGGCCATAACTATTTGG